GTCTGCTGCCTCTGCAGCATGGATTTGATTCCCAGCCGGCCAGGCCAGGGAGATTCCCACATGGTGTGGCAGACCTCTCCTGTCTTGCCCAGTGCTCCCCTCAGCAGTGCATTTTGGTCATCTGCCTGTTTTGTCCCCCACTCTGTCTCTGGTGAATCCTTTCACCCTCCTGCATCTCTGGCCTGTACCCCAGCTCTTGTATAAAATTAAATAAATCTTTAAAAAATATATCTATATATATGTATATATAGTGGCATAGGTTATTGCTTTTCAACTATAATGAAGCAGAGATATCTGAGAAATATGTCATGAGGAGACCAAAGGAAACTGTTATGATAGGATTTTGGAGCACCCTTAATAGGATTAGAACTAAGATTTCTTAAGCAAATAGCAAATGTCAAAACACAGAGGGAACTGGATCAGTGATTTATGAAAGCAATATATAATTAAGATACTGAAAGAATTTTAGAATAAATACTTACAATGGAACTGTTATGATCATTTTGGAGACATGGTAAAAAGAATGTTAAATAGCAGTGACATAATGAGAGAAATACAATTACAATTACAAAAACAATTGTAAAAATATTATAGTAAAGAGGAATTGAATCTCAGAAGTTACTGATACAATGAGTAGAAAATAAGAATTTGTTCCTGGAAAATTTATATTGACTGTTTATGAAATAGGAAAATAAGCCCTCATGTTTAAATGGATGCACGGTATAAAGACAAGGGTAATTTTATTGAAGAAAATTAAAATGGTAATTTTATTGAAGAAAATTAACAAGAATTCAATATAACACCTTTCCTTATTTGAGTATGGACACTGATATCACATATATATGACATTCTTTAATGTTACTCACAGTTGTTATTTGTAACAAACTAAGTAACGTCTGTAAGACCCCAAATTTAAATGTGTCTTAGTGTAACTATCAGGAGGAAATTAAACCCAGCTATCCCTCAATGTCTACCATGACTAATACGATTAACTTAAATCACACAATCATCTTAATATATTTTGATTTATTATCATTACTACTACTACTACTACTACTACTACTACTACTACTACTACTACTACCACAACCACCACCACTATTTTGCTCTGTAGTTTCAACTGAATCAGATTAAGTTCTACAAATTTTATTTTTGATATTTCAAATGCTTAATAAAATATTGTATGGTGTGTATAATAGAGAGAGAGACTAAATTTAGTGCCTACAAGTGAGGCTGAGGCCAAACAACCTGTGAATATTCAGTGATAGGAAAAAGAACTGAAGGTTTAACTACATAAAAGCATTGCTGTAGTTGGAGAGTTTTCTTCCTCTGATTTTTCCATACTTTTCTTTTTCACTTTTCATCTCTGCCAACTTTATGGATAAAGGACTCTTTATTATTTTATCTTCTCTTTCTTTGCCTCCCATTTTCCAAGCATAAGTTTCAGTAATGTTACTATCAGTATCAATGTATTAATTACATGGCAGGTCATAGGCTGTATGGAATTTTGTATTCTACACACTTAGCATTTTGATAGTAGTGGACACCTGAGCTGTGGTGTCTATGCTTGGCTCTCGTTCACTTATATTTCATCTCAGATTTCCGAAAGTTAATCTAAAGATTTATTTATTTATCCACACAAAAACTGGGGTACCGGCCAGAGTTGTGGGGGGTGAGAGGATTCACCAGAGACAGAGTGGGGAACAGAACAGGCAGATTGACCTGAAATACACTGCTAAGGGAGCAGCGGGCAAATCACGGGAGGTCTGCTTTGCCATGTGGGTATCTTCCTTGCTGGGGATTGAACTTGTGCTGCATTGGCTGTGGCTGGCTTCATAGGTTGCTTCTTTTTAATCCCTTGTGCCACCAGGAAGGCCCTGAAAGTTAATCTAATACATTTAGAAGTTGCATGGTTTTCCACTATTTTTCAAGAAGCTAGACGAGCACAGAGAAATCCAAGTTTATTGAAATTCACCTTCTGACTAGACTTATTGAACTTCTGGGAAATAGTGGGTGAGAAAACCTAACACAAGTTTGAAAGGTAAACATCCAAGGGAGCCAGGGACATTGCCATGGACAGTGGCTTAACAACATTTGGCCAGGATGCATTCAAGAATGTCATTGGGGATATAATTACTTCAAGCCTTCCAAGACCTATTAATTTTGTGTTTTGCTTACATTTATATTTTGTTCTTCTGAACCACATTTTCTCAGACAGAGTCATAAAACAGTTTGATTCCTAGAACCTAAATGTTGAGATAGTTTTGCTGGATTTTGAAAATATTTTTTGATTATGTTTTATTCAGAGCTAGAAATGTGTCAAATATGGATTGGAAATGCCTGCTTTCCTGAGGGATGAAGATGCTCTTCTTGTACCATTGATACCTTTTATGAAAACTTGACATCCCCTTCCTTTGCAAGCTTGTGAAAGTTTTAGGACATGCTGAGATTTCCAGAATATTTTCAGAGAATCAGTTTGGATATTCATGAATTACCACTTTGGAGCGCTATTTTTTTTTTCTGGATTTTGGTGTAGGAGACAAATTGTTAAAAGCATCTGAAGATAAAGTACATGCAGAGGGAGCCAAGAGCTGAACTAACAGTCGTTCAAATCTACTGTTTCTTGAATTATCCATGTCACCTTGGCAGGGGAAGTGTCCATTAAGTATGTTCTAGATTAACTATGTGTACTTTGAGCAATTTTACAGAATTTTACTTAAAAATTTCAACTTTCCAGGCAGTGCATGATGTAGTGATTATTTTAGAAATGTTCTAGCTTTATTTATTTTCATTATTCATAAACAAAATTCCAATTATGATTAACATGGTTAAATTCATTTCATGTTTGAGTGAATTATGTCCCAAATGTGGTTGCATGTTTTCCTCCATATTACTATAAAAAGTGTCCAGCGTGTGCTTGAACATCTCCAATAATGAAGACATTCCTATATTTCAAAAAACCTTCCATCCTAAAATAGACTAGCTCCATCTGAATCAACGAAGGTAAGTTTATAAAACAGTGCATTCTCATACATTAAGGAAAAATTGGAATATGTGATGGAAACTTATTATTTAAGAATAAAAGCTTCCATTTAAATACAAATAGCATAACACAAATACATACATAATTTCAAGAAATAAAGTAATTGACTATAATTCTATCATACAAAAAATATCAGGTAGTGGCATATTAAGAAATGACCTAAAATAACCATTTGATCTTCAAGTTAACAAGTTTTCACTGTCAGAATGTTAAAATTGAATCATATCTGGTTATTATTAAATGCATTAGAAATTTCTTTCCTCCCATACTCTCTCCTTCCCTCCTGCCCTCCCTACTCCCTTCCTTCTTTCCTTCCTTTCTTTTCTTTTTTCCTTGTAATGTGATGTCTCTTGCATGACCATTTCTGTAGTTGTTTATTGATGCCCTTAAGGAAGAATCACTGTAAAAGGAAAATGACTGAGTCACACACATAAGTTTTTTTTTTTTTAATTAGAATAGGCATTTATTTATTTTCATTTTTTAAAATTATATAGTTTTTACATCATTTTTCATTTCTGCACAATGTATGCTTTTTCATCTTGGTTATAGTTCCCATACAATTCCCACTCCCCTTGTTTTGATCCTCCTCCCCTCCCCGTAGTGTAGAAGGAATTATTGGCGAAACACTACATGACATATACCTCAGTAACATCTTTAAAGACACATCACCCAAAGCAGTGATAGTGAAGGTAAAAGAGAAACAGCAAAAGAGGCAGTAACCAAAGCAAAGAGACACCCCATGGATTGGGAGAAAAATTTTGCACACAACACTGATGATGAATGACTGATCACAAACATCTACAAAGAGTTGAGTCACATATGTTATTGGGCATTTCCTACTACCTCTTGCATTCCTTATTAAGTACTGTGTGTGGTCCATTTATTTCACACTCCTCAACATTGCTAACTCCTACATTGCCACTGTCTAACCACTTGCTCAGTGATTGTCCAAACCTGTTTGTTATTTAACTGTAACCTCAATTCTTGCATACACCTTTCCTTTAATATCACTATGATGCTTTATGACAATAATTCTCCTCCCTATTTCCATCTGATTAAGCACTAACAATATCCATGGTACAGAAAACAAGCAAGGATCCTGATATGAGGAGTTTGTTTTATTGTCAAACTGAAAGAAAATAACTTGAAATGTTTTAGAATCAGAAAATGCTAGAACACAATTTTATATTAGATACTCCATATGTCCTTCCACACATAAATACTCCAATAGACAGGTAGCCTTTCATCTTACAAGGACTTTACTACTCATATGAAAGTGCAAATAATCTTTCATTGCTGTCTTCTAGACACCCTTGCATTACCTTTGAGGGAGAATAAGATCTTTTGTGTTTTCACATTCATGTGTGCTTCTTGTCAGTCCTGAAGAATTGGTAGTATTCTTTATTTCTGTATATCTATTATATGAAATGAGAGATTTTACTCTTCTGTGTTGCATACAGAAGAATAGGAAGCCTTATACAATGCTAAAAACAAATAAGAACAACTCAAAGATCTTACTTTATTTAGAATCTCACAAAATAATTAAACAATATATGTCCTGTAGTGTAGACAATTTAAGATACCATAACTATGTCTATACAGCACAAGAATTGCAAAATAAACAAAAAAATATTTTTGAGTTACTTACAAATAATATAAATCATTATTTTTACTATCAAAATTATGTTTAAATATATTAGTTTATTAGTAGTTTCAAATAAAATAATGAGTATTTGTATTATGACTTAAATTTTCCACAATAGATTTATCATACAAAAATGTAAAAGCAGCTTAGTGCAATATATCAAGCATACTTAATATTAAAACACAATTCATGCCCATTAATTTTTGGTAAATTGCATTACTGTGCTCACGCTATTATTTTCACCAAATTTTATGATTTATTTCTTTCAGGTTAAGAATTCATTTGTATATAATGTACACCAAACTCAAATATATGGAAAACCAGAGAAACGTCTCAGAATTCATTCTTCTAGGACTTTCTTATGACAAAAACGCTGGAATATTTTGCTTTGTGTTCTTCTTACTCTGTTACATTGCCCTATTGGCAGGAAACCTTCTGATCCTTGTCTCTATTAGATGCAGTCCTCTTTTTGACCAACCAATGTACTATTTCCTCATTCACTTGTCAATCATGGACATCTGCTATACCTCATCTGTTACGCCCAAGTTAATTGGTGACCTGCTGGTGGAAAAAAAGACCATCTCCTATGGCAGCTGCATGTTGCAGGTCTTTGCCTTGCACTTGTGTGGAGGTGTTGAAGTCTTCATTCTTACCTCAATGGCTTATGATCGTTATGTTGCCATCTGCAAACCTCTCCACTACATGATTATCATGAACAGGACAAGATGCAATCTCCTGGTCTTAGGTGCTTGGGTTGGTGGAGCTGTCCATGCCTTTCCTCTCTTTATTATGGCAGTCATTTTGCCCTTCTGTGGTCCTAATGAAATTGATCACTATTTTTGTGATGTTTTTCCTCTGTTAAAAGTTGCTTGTACTGACACCTACCTCACTGGTATCATAGTGATTACATTTTCAGGTTTCATGTCCTTAGTTACATCTGTTATTTTATTTCTTTCTTATGGCATTATATTATACACTCTAAGAAATCAGTCTGCTGAGGGAAGACGTAAGGCTCTCTCAACCTGTTGGTCTCATATCACTGTGGTCATCTTATTCTTTGCACCTATACTCTTTGTCTACCTTAGACCTCCTAGTACTTTCCCTGAAGACAAAATATTTGCAATATTTTATACCATTGTTGCTCCTATGTTCAATCCTTTAATCTACACCCTAAGAAATACAGAGATGAAAAACACCATAAGAAAACTTTGGTGTCAAACATTATTTTTGAAAGGAAGCACATAAATAATTTGAAAAATCATATTGTATTAGTACCCTAATCAAATACAAAGGTTAGATGTGAATGATACACCCAGGAAAACTCAATTTCCATTTACCATTTCTGTATCCATTTTGAATAGGATAAATGAAAGAACTAAAATTAAAATTTAAGGTAATATCTTGTCAAATTCTAAAGCTTGCATGCCAAAATTAATTGGAAACTAAATTGATCTTTATATATATATAAATGATATATAGATATACACCAAAGAAAATAATGTAGTAATATATTTATCAGTAAATTATAAAGGAAATTATTTTATGAACATTGTTTTAAACTTTTGACTTACAGTCCAAACCATAGTGTCTCACATTGTGTGTTAATAAAGAAGTTGAAATTTAAAATTGTATTGATAAATTTAAATTCCTGATATAACATTAACATATATGCATCTCTACTGTCATCAGAAGTCAGTTGTGTAATAAAGAATTATTTAGGGTAGAATCTGTTTGAAAGCAAGTCAATGCTTCTGATCACTTTGAAAATACAAATAATGATGACAGAGTGAGTATCTTTATTTCAGAATGTTAGATCTAACTTACTACAACTCTACCTCCTGAGTAATATTTAATAACATCTTTTAAAATTTAAGTAAGTTCCTTTTTCCCACTTTTCCTCCATGCCAAGGATATGACTATTCTTTCATCTTTCCTTTGTCTCCTATTCCCCACACATAAATTCCAACAATGCTAGTACCTAACTGAGTAAACACATGTTTTATATTTCAGGCCATAGTTTTTATTGAATTAAGTATTTTACACACAAAGAATCTTGATAATAGTCATATCTGGACTGAATGTGTGACTGTTTGGTTTTCTTGCCCTACCTCATATCAGATTTCTGTAAGATGATCTAATACGAATACATGCTACATGGGTCTCCCTCCTCCTTCTTCAGCAAGTTGGAAGAGCACAGAGCCATCCAAGTTTCTTGAACTTCACCTTCTGACTAGACTTATTGGACTCTTGGGATTAGTAGGAGAGACAAGTTAGACAAGTGTGGAAGGTAAACATCCAAGGGAACCAGGGACATTGCCATGGACAGTGATTTAACAACATTTGGCCAGCTTGTATTCAAGAATTCCATTGGGGATATAATTACTTCTAACCTTCCAAGACATATTAATTTTGTTTGGTCCTTAAGTTTATATTATGTTTTCTGAACCACATTTTATCAGACAGAGACATACAGCAGAAGATTTCTAGGAACTAAATATTGAGATTGTTTTGCAGGAATTTAAAAATACTTTCTGTTTAAGTTTTATTATGAGAAGGATTGTAGTAAATATGGATTGAAAATGCCTAGTATGCTTTCTGGAGGGGCTAAGATACACTTCTTGTACAGTTGATACTTTTTATGAATATTTGAAATCATCTTTCTTTGTAAGCTTGTGAAAGTTTTAGGACATGATGAGATTTTCAAATTTTTTTAGAGAATCAATTTGGATGTGGGTGAATTACTGCTTTGCAACTCTATGGTTTTATTCTAGATATTAGTATGGGAGCAAATTTTAAGAGTATCTGAGGGTGAAGTGCATTTTGCTGGAACCTGGAACTGACCTGACAGTCACTCAAATCTGATGGTCAGTAAGTGAACCATGTCACCTTAAGTTGGGAAGGATCACCCAGGCATGTGTAAGACTTATTATATCATCTTTTTTATCTATTCTATACAAAATATTTTTAAAGTCAGCAAATTTTCTGCCAGAATATAACTCTTTGATTATTAAAAATGTTTGAACATAATTTAGTTTTAATTGTTCATTATTTCTAAGTTAATCTCCAGTAAGAACAATACAGTAAAAATATATTTTCAGGTTTGTATGTTCATGTTCCACTTTTGTTATATGTAATTCTACATATTACCATGAAAAAGAGTCCAGCTTACTCTTGAACATCTATAAGAATGAATTTGTTGCTGTATTTCAAAAAACTTCCATCCTACAGTAGTAACTAGCTCCATCCAAGTCAACGAAGGTAAGTTTATAGTATGGTGCATTCTCATACACTAAGGAAAACTTGCAATATGTGAGGGAAACTTTGATTTAAATATAAGACTTTTGATTTATATATACATATAGTGTAACACAAATGCACAGAAATTTTTATTCAATACTCCAAGGAAAGATAGTATGTGTAGTTCTTTTGTACAAAAATATCAGCCTATGATAAGTGTTAAAAGAAATACCTTAAGCTAAATACTCTATCTACCATCTAACAGGTTTACACTGTCAGAATGCTGAAATTGAAGTTTGTCTGATCAGTCATTACATACATATTATGAATAGTCCTTCTGTATTTTTCCATTAAACCTGATTGTCTTATATGCATGACAATTTCTATAGCTATTTTTAATGCTCACAAGGAGGAAAGTCTATGAAAAGAAAATGACTGTTTTGAACCACCTATACTACTGGGTATTTTCCATTAACTTCTGCCTCCCTCATTAACTGTCTGTATCATGTACTGATATCTTTATTGCATAAAGGAAGAAAATGAGACATAAAGAGATTAACTAGTTAGCTTGAGGATTAGAACAGTTAGTCACTGTATTTCATAGTCATCCACATCTATCTCCTTCCTTTGTGTTGCACTGTCTGATCAATGTGATCACTTGTGTGGTGATTACCAAATTTTGTTTACTCTTTATTTGTAATCTTGATTTTTGCATACACCTTTTCTTTAATACCACAATGGTATTTTATGATACTATTTTCCTCAACTCACTGTCCTCCTCCCTCTTTTCTGAACACTAGCCAAAACTAGCCTGTTTTCTCCAAGAAAACAGGATGGAGGCTTAAGATCTACCATACATCAGATGTAGATGATCTAGAAAACAAGCCAGTATCCTTACATGAAGATTTTATTTTATTTTTTTTTATAAAAAGGATGGAAAGGTACTGAAAATGTTTTAGAACCAGAAAATGTTAAAATACAATTTATATTAGGAACTCCATAGCGTTTCCCACAAACAAATGCCCAAAAGACCATCTGTCTGGTACCCCATTATGGTACAGGTCTTCTAAACTCAGATGAAGTTTCAAATAACCTGTCCTGCAGACAACTTTCTGTTATTAATCCAGCTTTCATGCATGGGTTGCAAACCCAAATTGAGGAAGAATAAGAATTTTTGTCTTCTCAAAACCACAGAGCGCTATTTTTCAATCCTGAGAAATTTCTAAGATTCTTTTTATCTGAATCTCTTATATTTAAAATGAGACATATAACCAAGATGAAAATACATACATTGTGCAAAAATGAAAAATGATGTAAAAATATATAAAATAAAATTAAAATAGAGAGAAAAAATAAAATGAGACATTCAGATGGTTTGCTACAATATGAGTAGTCAACAGTACATTTATATAATAATAAATCTATTTTATATAAATACATAAAAATTAACATTTCAAAATATAGACAAAGTATATCTATCAGTTTCAATAAGGAGGAGATAGGTAAATACTCCCAATTTCTAGATAACTTCATATTTTTTGAGATGCTATTAACTTCTGAACATTCTGTGACTGCTGATTGGTGTATGAAGGATATAGGAAGCTGAATGTGATACAGAATAAGAACAAGTTAAACATTTCTACTTTTTTAACTTAGAATTTCAATCATAATTTAGAAAATAGTACATCCCCCACTATTTACCAATTGCTAAATGGCATATTTTAAAGCTATTTCCATCTAAATATCAGCCACTATAAATAACACAGAGAAAGAATCACTAGCCAGATGATTTTTATATAATCTTTCATAGAGCATTTTGTGTTTTTGTAGTAAACATATGGACATCCAAAATTGACTGTTGCTTTAGATGCAGGCAAAGGTAGGACATGTGCCATTTTTTTTAAACTCATTGGATCAGATCATTCCTCAGCAGTGCTCTGTTATTATTTGTTATTATTTTACACTGTCTTAATATAATATTTATATACAAAAGGTAGAAATCCATGAACTTGACATTTAGTTATAACTTCAACAAATATCCCCTGGACGAACTGACCTCAGAGTTTGTCCACAAGTTACCTTCAATAGGATCTTCTTTTATTGATATCCACTCTTTGTATTGTAGTAAAATCTGAAATACCTGGTAAGATTCATGACATTTACAACATTAATATAAACCTGGGATTTAACAATTTATGTTCCCTTGACCACAGACACACTAACATTGACAAGAGTATATCTTATACAAAGTATATTTAAGACATGAAATATGTAATAATGAAATATGAATGTATTTGCTGATCATTAATCAAAATTTTCAAATTTTCTTGGCAATTTTTTTGTGTCTTGAGATTTTTCAGTCATTCATTTTAATATAACAGTGATTATTAACTTAATATGACCCATTGACAATATATGATCATAACGCAAATAATACTATGCTCTAAACAAATTAAATTTCAGCAGTTCAATGAATTTTTAAAACATTTATCAAGTAATTTGTTGTGATAATTTTAAGAGAAAAATATGCTAATATATTTTAAATTATTTAGACTAAATAATATAATATATATTATAAACACTTGTTACCAAATGATATTTAAATATTTTAAATTATTAGTAATATTGAGTAAAATATCTTCTCATTATAGCATTACAAAAATTTTCCAAAATAGACGTATAAGTTAAATATAATGTAAAAGTATCTTAGTCTAACAAAGCTTAATTATTATCAAGACACCATTCATGTCATTCAACCTTTTATACAATTTATAGTACTGTGTTCAAATTGTCATCTTTCACTAAATTTGTTTCATTTCAGATATATAAATCATTTGTATATAAAATAAAACCAAAATGGAAAGCCGGAGAAACATCTCAGAATTCATTCTTCTAGGAATTTCTTATAACAAGAACATACAAATATTTTGTTTTGTGCTCTTCTTATTCTGTTATGTTGCCTTATTGGCAGGTAATCTTCTGATTTTAGTCTCTGTTCGATGCAGTCCTCTTTTTGACCAACCAATGTACTATTTCCTCATCCACTTGTCATCCATGGACATCTGCTACACCTCCACTGTTACTCCCAAGTTAATTGGTGACCTGCTGGTGGAAAAAAAGACCATCTCCTATAGCAGCTGCATGTTGCAGGTCTTTACCATGCACTTCTTTGGGGGTGTTGAAATCTTCATTCTTACAGCCATGGCTTATGATCGCTATGTTGCCATTTGCAAACCTCTCCACTACATGATTATCATGAACAGGACAAGATGCAATCTCCTGGTCTTAGCAGCTTGGGTGGGTGGAGCTGTCCATTCCTTTCCTCTCTTTATCATGGCAGTCATTTTGCCCTTCTGTGGGCCTAATGAAATTGATCACTATTTTTGTGATATTTTTCCCCTGTTAAAAGTTGCCTGTACTGACACCTACATCACAGGTATCCTCGTGATTACCTTTTCAGGCATTATTTCCTTAGTTACCTTTGTTGTCTTGTTCCTTTCTTATGGCATTATACTATTCACACTAAGAAATCAGTCGGCTGAAGGAAGGCGCAAAGCCCTCTCCACCTGTTGGTCTCACATCACTGTGGTTGCCTTGTTCTTTGTGCCTGTGATCTTCATCTACCTTAGACCTCCTACTACGTATCCCGAGGACAAAATATTTGCAATATTTTATACCATTGTAGCTCCTATGTTCAATCCTTTAATCTATACACTAAGAAATGCAGAGATGAAAAACACCATGAGAAAACTTTGGTGTCAAACATTATTTTTCAAAGAAAGCAAATAAATAATTTATTGGATAAGCTACTTAGTGAAATAGAAAGAGTAAATGTGAATGATATAACTAGGAAAAATCTGATACTTACTATGCTAAAATGTATCTTGAATGGAATAAATGAGAGAAATTGGGCTACAATATCAAGAAGAAATGATCAAATACTTAATCTTGTATACCAAGATTAATTAAAAATGGATTTGATTTTGTGTAGTACAAAGATGATATATATATAGTTTTATGTAAAAAATATAGTTTACAAAGGAAATAAGCTAATGATATATTGATCATTGAGCTTAAAATTATATATACAATAACTGAATTGAAACTTTTAGTTTAGCATCATAATACATAGTGTTTACATTTGGTGTTAATGGGGAAGATAAAATTAGAAATTAAAATAAGTTTAATATCTGATAGAATATTATCATATATTCATCTCCAGTATCATGAGAAATCAGATGTGTTACAAAGAAATATTAGGGTAGAATCTACTTGAATACAAGTGAATGTGCCTGGCATTTGAAATGAATTATATCAGCTTGTGATGGTAGAGTGAGAATCAATAATTGAAGATGCTAAATCAAACTCATTGCAACTCAAACCTATTCAACTGAGATTTAATAACATTTCTTATAAATCTGAGGAACTGTTTAAAAAAATGTGTTACCACCCCTTCTGATTAAAATTTATTTAATTTTTTAGAGATTGATTGATTGATTTTAAGATTTAGTTTCATTTACACAAGAGCTGGGGTACAGCCAGAAGTGCGAGAGGGTGAGGGGACTCACCAGAGACAGAGCAGGGAGCAGAACAGGCAGACTGATGGGAAACACTCCTCAGGGCACAGCGGACGAGACAGGCAAGGTCTGTCGCGCATGTGGGTAAGTTCTCTGGCCGGCTGGAATGGACCCCGCGCTGCAAAGGCTATGGACATCTTGAACAGCTTCACAGTGCTGGACTCCAGCTGCTGCGCCACTGGGGAAGTCCCTGATTAAAACTTAAAAGTAAATTGATGGCCACTAGATCCAGACCTAACAGAAAACTAGCGAAACAAATACTATGCATTCTAAGACCTCATGAAAATATATGTTGGAACAGAAATGCATATTACAGAATAAAAGCTGTGTATCTGTACAGGTTAAATAATCTGACATAAATTACCTGATTTCTAGAAAATGCAAAGCATTGTGGAGAGTAAACTGACCAGTGAACATCAAGGGTTGGACTTAGAGAGGGATAAGGATGAACTGGAGCAACAGTTTTTTTACGACAATGAAACTTCTCCCTATTACTACGTTTTGGATACTGTTTTTACATGTGGTAAAACCTATAAACTGTAGAACCTCAAGA